TCAGCAGGTGTAACTTTATTCAGTAATTACAAGTTTATAAAAAGTGAAAACCACGAGCAGTCCTCGAGTTATTAGTTCAGAAACATATTTGATTAATATCTTTGTGTCTATTTTTAATATGTTCTTTGCCAAATGTATTCTTTTTTATTCAGCATTCCCCCCTGCTCAGTCTCTTTGCTTTTAGCTCTGCTTGGCCAGAAAAATAAATAAATCCTAACAACCAACCCCCAAACCCTACAACTTTTATTTTATTCAGTGACCTTATTCCAGTATGCAGCTTCTGGGTTTTATTTCTCTTCTTTGTTGCTTCCTTTTTAAAATTTAACCTTGTGTCTTTTTTGTTCTTCCTTCCTGTTAGTTTGCTGTGGGCAACTGCTAAAGGAAATTGTTGCAGGCAAGACAAAACTTGGGGAACTCATTAAGACTTACCTTGAGAGTGGATACCCAGGTAGGGCACATTGTTGTCTCATTACACTGTACTTAAAAATCTGTGGCAAAAAAAAATAAAACGTGAGTGAATTTTTCTTGGTCAGATTCTAACCCGAGTTACATCAGAGTAATCTGGAAGTTGATTAATTCCCTTCCTTACATGTGGTTTGTAGCACTGCACAAAAGTTAGATTGCTAAGCTCTTTGATATCTTCAAAGCAAATAGTTCACAGTTGCAGTGAAATTCAGGTTTCTTCTACACATTCCAATATTTGAATTCCATGTTTTTATCTCTAAGTCAAAATCAGAGTTCTGATCTAGATGTGTAATTTTAAAATATTTAAGCTGTCACTTAAAGCACAGTATTGTGTTTCATTTTTATTTCAAGTGGGCTGTAATAAAGACTCTGCTTTTTTATGACTTCTAGTATGCTACTGTAGATTCCTCTACTTTGATGAAAATATTTTACACGTAAAGTTTCTTTGCATTTCATTTCTATCAGCAGTTTTGGTCATAGGAGGGAACTACCACAAAGAATATCTAAACATACTTTGCTTTCGCAAGGCTCTGCAGTGATTTCAGATAAATCATGAATACTGTAAGCTCCTTAGGGCAGCAGCTTAAGCTTCGGTGTTTGTTAGTTGTCTTGCACAAGGATAGCTGTCTCTGTGTGGTGGGTATTAAAACTCAGAAAAGGGCTATACTTCTAAAGGAGAAGTTGTATTTCAGTAGCATGGAAAAATGTTTATTTTTCCAAATTACAATGGCCTTAAAGAGGAACTTTCAGTCCTGTTTCTGGCAACAGGCCAAAGGGTTACCAACGATACAACGATAAGGAGACAATCTAGTTTAAGATTGAGAAATCTTGGTTAAGCTTCAGTATTAATGGAATTTTGAGCAAACCCCCCCTGAGCAAAGAAAAATCTTTACTGTCTTTTATTTTTAGCAAGGAAAGTCATTTGGTGAGGTGGAAAGCTTGACAGTCCCCTTTTTTTTGCACAATAGCTTAATTCTGGGACTGAATTACACAGATCTGAAACATGAGCCTATAAAATTAACTTGAGGTTCCCTTGATACCATGGCAAGAGATTCAGTACTTTTCTAAGCATTTCAAAAAGACCTTTGGCAGCCTGCAGCTTTGGGTATTCTATCCCTCTGTCAGGCACTTTATCAAGCCATGAGGTAATACATTTTAACTCTAAACTTCATCTCTAGTGAATGGATTGCATTTATTTGTAACTCTCCTAGTTCAGTGCATTAATTTTCTGTGTCAGTCACCATATCACTGGGCCTAGGAGCTTATGTGGGAACCATGGGAATGGAAAGCATGAATCTCTACAGCCTGAAAGAGAAGCTGAGTCCTCTGGAACATGGGCACAGAGATCCAGGAGATTTCTGGTTTACAAACACTCTTAATCAGAATGGCCATTTAACTCAAAAGCAAGAGATCTTAGTGTATACTAATTGCAATCTATCCTAGTTCTTCATGTATGGAAACAACTTCATGTGTATAGTGTGATTGACCTGAATGTAGCTACTTGTGCAGTTTAACTCACATGTGGAGATCATTATAAGCTCTGGGGCCATGTCTTTTAATCATAATCCATTACATTCAGAATCTTATGTGTAATTTCACTTCTCATCTCTGTGAAGTAGAGGACAGCCACTCTAAATACCTCACTCTTAATTTCAGTTGTGTCCGAGATGGGAGTTTGGGTGATCTGTTTAGTCAAAGATAGGTCCATTAAGAGCTTTCTTTACTAAAATGCTTTCTGTGTATTTTAGAAACTTCATGTTAACCACTAAGTTTCCCTAAAGGAGATACCAAAAGCACTCCCAGTCAAGTATAATAATTGCACAGATTATAGTTTTTAGCCACTCCTTAAAATACACACATCCTTAGTCCAAGGGTGCTGTTTCAGGAAAATTAAATTGAAGCTGTTGTTCCTTTCTCCCTCCAAATCAGAAATTATTTCAGATTTAGATTGTTTTTTTAATGTAGCATGCAAGGATAATGCATGTTAATGGGAATAGTAACTATATTTCTGTGCATTCTGCTAAAACAATTCCCCTTTTGTTTTTGCTTGTGTGCACATGTATTCTATTTTGTGGGATATACAACAAAATTAAAGGCTGAATAAAAATAAGTATTATATAGCAATACCAGAAATAATAAGTTCTGTCATTTTGCTAATCCTCCTCTCCCAGGGATAACAAAGAATGAATTTACATTAGTAAACACTAACAAGAATTCATTACTGCCCTCACAAGAGGCTTGGAGAAAATGAAATAACATAGTGTACTGAAGAGGAAAGATGGGCAAAGGATCCTTGCTGTCTTGCTGCAGTGGTACCACCAGGTTAATGCAAAGGAAGGATTTTTGCACTATGATTGACTACATTCAGTTTCAAGAAAATCACATTTAAAAAGTTAGTTTAGTCAATAGCAGACAGTGTTATAGCTGGAATAGCAGTTAGAACTTCAACATTTTCAGTGCATTTCTAGTTAGGTACCAAGTAAGCTTAGTTGTTCCTTTGGGCAAGGGGTCGTGTAAATGGCATTATCACAGAATATCCTGGAACCAAAGGCTGACTGGGAGAAATGCTGTGTTCAAATCATTACTAGTCAAAATGAACCTAGTGCCATAAAATCTTGAGGGCATGCCTCATATATTCTTAAAATGCTTGCCCTAGGGACTGATTTCAGTGCTGTTCTCCTTCTTGTGGACACAATTGATTGCATACAATTAGTCATTTAAGATACGCCAGCAGGGTATGTTGTGATGTCATAAAAAGGCTCAAAACCCAGCTTATTCAAAGCTAACTCATTATTGAGTTATTGAGGCTGCCCACTGTCTATTCTGTTCTAGTTCTGGTTGACTAACTCAGATCTCTTCTTGGGTTTAGGATTCACAAACATTCTTTGTGTTGTTTTTTCCTGTATGGCTGTTCATGTATACAAGATGTACCTCAAGAGCCCAGACAATTCTATTATTTACTCCAGAAGGCTACTCAGTGCATTCCCATTTTCTGTATTTTCTAGTGTTTGCTGTCTCCTAAAGACCTTGTCTCCTGCTTTATTAAACTTCTCAGTTTTGTATACAGTAGTTTATTTTGCTTAAGGAAGGTAGCAGAGTTATATTTGAGCCCATTAATTCTGTAATTGCCAGTACATTCTAGTCTACAGTTGGTGCACACTAAATAGTGAAAAATCTCTTTTCAGTGTGAAGTTCAGCAACCTGACTGCTTTCTGTCTGTCATAAACATAGAGCTGTTCTTTGGACAACCAATCTGAAATGCACAGCCTTTTTCTTTAGGATGTTGTGGTTTCCACTGAATACTGGGCTCTTATTGCTAACTGCACTCTGGGCAGCAAATTACACACTCTGAGACCAGCCTACTGGTCACTAACTCCAGTTAGTTTAAACCCTGATCAGAAATTTAGCACAAGCCATTTGGGCAGCTGAGGAAGAATTCCATCTGAAGTAAGAAAGAGGTGAGTGTAGTGGCCAGAACACTTCCATAGGCAGCAAAACAACACGAATTCGTTCAGTTTGATTCCTTCTGAAATGTTGTGAAGAGATGGGTCCTCCCCTTCTGGTAATTCAGGCTATGGACAAATGATGTATATGTAGATAGCCTGTCGTAGACCTCACGGGCTTGATGAAGACCTTGGTGCAGGATTCATGTCCCCAGGTTGCTGTAGTTCTGAGGAGGGCTAGACAGCCTTCTCGACCTGTCTCATGGAAAGCATGGGCACGCATTAATTTGAGGTTCCATCTGCAGGATCTCTGTTCACCATTTTAAAGGTGTCTGTCAGAATTTCATACCCTGAGTGAGAAAAAAATGCAGAAAGCGTATCTGCCTTTTTTCCCCCCTAATTGTCCCTGGTGTTTGCCCTTTGAGATGTTTGCATTTGATTAATGAAAATAGAAGCAGAAGTGTTTTGGTGCTGGGCATCACAGAAATAGGAATGGTCATCAGTCAGTTGAAAAGGAATTTGCATGCCACTGTTCAATTTTGTGTGTTTTCATGGTGAAATAGCATGGAGTGATCACTGCTAATTAATATATCTGTTTGCAAGGCTGCAATAAATGAAGCCAAGAAAAATGAGATGACAGGAAAACAGCATGAAGAGCAGGGGTGGGGTGGGGTGGTGGAAACCCACTTCCAAACCAGTAAGATTCTGCTTTTCAGCTGGGAGAACTGCTATTAGTTTGGGTAATTGTTTTTTCCACCAAAATGAAGATTCAAGTGCTAACAGAGCTGATTCGTGGAAGACAGGTAAGATTGCACTGCTTGCAGCCTGTTAGAGCTGAACACACACAATCTGTGTTGTTTTTTCCCCTTCCTTTTTCTATTTTTTAAGTAGTAAAAACTGAAGTGGTCCCCAATGGCAGCTTGTATGTAGGGGGTAAAATCTGGAATTCCCTAATTTCTCCTATTTTCTAATAAAAACTATTACTGTACAAATGTAGATTATTTTTCCCCGTTATTTTAAATTGGAATGGTTTTAAAGGGGTGCTTTTTGGTGGAGCCTCTGAAAGTTGGGGTCCCCTGGTGATTGTGATCACAGTCTCACTGAAAGCACTTGGGCTGGTTGGGTTTTTTTACATCAAATTAATATTCTCATCACTCAGTGTGAAGTACAGATTTGACAATAGAGCAGCTTCCTCTTTGTTAAAAACTTGCAAAGAGTTTCAGAGTTGAAAGGCTGAGTAAATCTTTATATCTGAGGAGGTAAGCTTAGTGTTATTTCTTGTTTTTAACAGCGCGGTACTGGCGAGCTGCAAGCTGTCTGAACATTGGAGAGAGACCCTTTGGGAGCTCCATTGGTTTTCAGCAAGTCTTTGCATGCAGTGTGTTTGTACTAGCTGAAGACAGCGCATGGCTCTCTAAATAATTTACAAGTTGATTAATAGACTCACATGGGTATAATTAGAAGAGGGAGAGACAGCAGCTCCAGTAACGGGTACAGTGCTTGGGGGAACTAGAGACTTTATTTTTTTTAAAGAAACTTT